AACCTGGATGCAAGTTGTCCCCAAATTATTTCTGAATATGCTTTAGTGATGCGGTTTTTTTTTGGCCAGATTCGTCACACACCGGACCCCGCTTGCAGCATTTTTATTCTTCGAGTAACAACGATGTTTAGTTTCTTTTCCAATCAAAAATTATTGAATTTCGCATAGTAAAAATTGGAATCTGTTGTAATATTTTTAGGACATTTCTTGCTTACGGAACTGTTACTTCCACTGCTCAAGAAATCACCAAATGCGCGAATTATCAATGTTTCCAGTTCACTACATAAACGAGCCGATAATGTTGATGCTTCTGTTGTCGATAACAAAGCGTATTTCAATCGTTCACAGCCCTATAGTCGTTCAAAATTGGCACAAGTATGCATTCTTCATGAGATCCTAGTGTTACTGAGTATTGGAGGGCCTATCGTTGATATGCAGTTACAGCTCAGTAACAACCAACATTCAGCGCTTCACAGTTTGCTTGAAAGCAAATTACTACACGTTTTGATGAACTCGTAAAACTCAGCTCGATTCAGCTGCGCACTATGCATTATCTGTGGGTTTAAGAAATCATAATCATACGCACTTTTGGGATTTTTAGTTCCATGGGATTTAGGAATAAGAAAACAGCTGTGTGGCTTCGTCCAAGTCGCAGAGCTGTTTTTTTCAGATCAAAATTTCACTGAAAATACAAATTCCATCGAAACTTCGGCATACATGCTTTCGAAAGCATCAGTGCTAGAAAAAGTCAGAAGAAGCACAAGTGCATCGGATTCTCTTCATTTGCAAAATGTTTCCAAAGCATATCTTGGGTTCAACAATTTTTTTGCCGTTACTTAATTTATCATTTCTGTGATGGAAACAATCCTTTATTAGCTAGATGTTATTAAATCCAGTAACAAAAAAAACTGGTTACAGATCATGCATGCTCGTGAGTTAACCAGACGCTTGCGACTTGCTGATCCGGAAGGTACTGTAACAATCAATGTTGTACATCCGGGTGTTTGTTTCACGGAACTTATGCGCTACACCATCTTCAACAGTGCACCGATTCGATTTTTCATCACGCCGATTCTATGGTTTTTCATGAAGACCGATAAAGTAAGGGCTTTTTTTGAGAAGGAAAAATGTATCTTGGTCACTTCTCCGGAAGAGTTTTGCTTTTGAAAGGGGTTGTGGTGAAATTTAGGGACATAATTCGTTCTTGATAAAGGTTTACCTCCCCCCCCCCTCCGTTTTTGCTCCTCACGGTTTTAATATGACATTGTTTGAGCATTTTGGCGTCATTTCATCATTTTTGAACCTATCAACCCATATTTTTATAGCGTTTCTCCAGCTGCTGCTACTGCTGTTATTTTGACCCGTTTCCATTGTCTGTGTTGACGTTAGCGCCTTTTCGGTGACATTTTCCGCATGCTTTTTTTTTCCACATTTAATATTCTTCGCACACGGACGATTTCAAGTCTACACACCCTTCTTCGCAGCTCGGACTTCTCACTAATTTTTTCAGGATGGTGCACAAACGACGTTATACGTAGCCCTGAGCAAAAATATGGAATCTGTATCCGGACGATATTTCGGGTTTGCGTTCCTTATATAAAAAATGACAGAAAAATCTTAAAAAAAAAGAAAAAGCTGTTAACCTGTTGAATTTTCTGCAGTTTGGTCTCATTTGACTTTTGCCAGGAATCATCTCGCTTGGAGATTTGCACTGGCAGTACTACGAAATTCGCGCTCCATTTAAGAGATTTGAACTCGAGCGAAAAAATTTTTTGCCCTTGAAACGATGCCAGCTACGAATTTCTTATTCCCTTCCAATCGTTGTTCTTGGCCCTCTCTCCCCTTCTCCCCTCTCTCCCGCCGTTGCGTTCCTCATCTCGTTTTGCCACTTTGCTCCTTGCGGTTGGTAAAAAGGATTATTTATCTCAGCGGTAGTCTGTTAAAAAAGTTG